GATGCTAATTCTTCTCAATTCTCTTGTGCATATACTGAAAAATCAGAGAAAACAAAAGTGAGATTAGATCCATGTAGAATGTACGTGTATACTTTTGTCTTTTAGAAAGTTATTCAGCAGATAATACAAGAGAGAGAAGCAAAGTAAATAAGCCGTAATTTTATTTATTTATTTATTTATTTTTAGAGTAGAATATGAACCAATTCGACCAGTCCCTGTCCCTGTAACAACAGTAATTAATAATACATACAGGATGTAGACATTAAACGCTATCACTCTAATCCCTGTTCATAGAAAGAAGCTCCTTCACTGAAGCTAAACACGACAGCCATTTTGAGGGAAGGAGCAAGGATACAGAGATTGGAAGAGGAGGAGGAGAAAAGGTGAGCTAAAAATGTTTTTAAAATTATTGGTTCATAATACTAAAATTAAAGCGACGATTCATCAAAATTTGATGCTTCATTCCTAATTCCTTATACATGTGCAATGTAGGTTAGCTGGGCTAGAAGCTGGCGAAAGAGATACAGCTGATTATTTTAAATGGCAAGGGGAGGTCAAAGAAGAGACAGCAGCTCGAAGACTAGCAGAACAAAAGAAACGACATTTAGTAAGGAAAACAATAATAGTACTAATGTATTGTATTCCATCATATCATTATACAGAAATTTATGTATTAATTTTTATGATTCTCTCTATTAGGAAGGACAGTTAAGCTATGAAGAGGCTATCATTGCCAAGCAGACCTTTATACAGGAGACCAAAGACAAAGTTGCCCTCATGAAGGAAGAGGTAGTGACCCAGTAATGACTGCAGTGCTTGTATATGTGTATCTCTGTATAGTCTGAGCAGTTTATGAGCGAATATTTCAAAAGAAGGGAGGATGAGAGAAAGGAAATGAGACGTCTTGTAGAGGCAACAATGCTAGGACACCAGAATGTAAAGGAAGCAAAAATTAAGCTCCAACAAATGAAGCAAAGACTCGGTAAACTTGACTGTACAACATGGGAATGAAGGGATTCATATATTGTGTGTAGTTCAAAAGATGGAGAAAGAAAACCAAGAGCTTTTGAAGAAAGCACTAGAAGAAGTTGGTTAAATTTATTATTTTATTTAATAGTATAATGTATGTACATGTACATGTGCATGTAGGAAGAAGCAGAAATGAGAAGAAAAGTTGAACTGATCCAACAGATTAAAGCAATGGAAAGCATTCCAGTATCACGTACCAAATTTGTAGACTTGACTGAAACAGGAGGACAGGGACTGTTGTCTGAAATGTCAGTGGTTGAGGTACCAATAAATTTAACATGAGATCCTCAGCATTACATTGCTATATTGTTACAGTTAAGGGAGAGATTGGCTTTATTAAAGATTGCAAAAAGCGAAGAGCAGGAGAGAAAGAAGAAAGGAATTGCAGCAACAAAAGAGGTACAGTTATGACTATTATAATGATACCAAGTTTTGAGGCTGAGAATTTCTTCATTCGTTTGCAGGCTAAGGAAAAGCTACTTCAGGAGGCAATGACTACAATAAACAGACACAAAGAGGCTCAGGCAGCTACAGACAAAATAAAGTAATTATAAAGCATTAATGTGTAAATGTATCCATACATAATGTATGTGCATGCATAGCTGTATTGTCTGCGTCTAGTATGTGTATACTTTTACTGTCATTTATGGATGTACATGTACATGTACATGTATGTAGAAATATTAAAGGGAAGGATAGCAATAAAAAGAACTTAAGTATTGCTGCTAAAGATAAAGAGCTTAATGACTTGCAGGAAAAATTAGAATTGAAAAGAAAAGGTATGTCTACATATACATGTATTTTTGTATGATTTTTATTTATAATTTATTGACAATTTTATTGTAGAAAGAGAAAGACTAAGACAAGAAAGTGCAGATGCAACAAGACAAAAGAAGGTATGCCATGTTGTAGCTTCAGATACTATTGCTATTGTACATGTATTACATTAAGTCCTATTTGAAGCAACTTTTAAAAATTGCTGCTCAAAAATCAGGCTAAACACCCTGTACAAGGGACTTTGGCCAAATTTTACCAAAAAATGAAAAGGAGAGGATTCTCCATTTTTATAACTTTTTCTGAAACATATACATGTCCTTATGTTATGTTTCAAGTTTGAGCTGATTCTGATCAAGTTTGAATTTTTTTATGAATTTTTAAAAGTTGCTCCGAATTCCATGTACTGTATTCTAGTACTTGTCAGCTCATGAAGCTCATGCTGTTTAGCTCACTTAGCATGCTTTGTGGGAAAACCTGCCTCTATAACCATTCTCTTAGCAATTTTTCATGAATTATTTTAATTTAGAACCTTCCATTATCAAATCCTAGTACTCCACTTTCACCACTGGAGACACTACTGAGGTACACACATTTCATTTCATTTTTATGTTCATTTTGATCTTTCACTGTAGAGCTGCTGGATCTACGTAACTAAAAACATTTTAATACACTTTATTTTTTTATGTAACTGAGAGTATAATAAGTATAACAAAATAAGATTAAATGTTTGAGGAAGTACTAATACATGTGCTGGTATAATGTCTTTGTTAAACAGAGTGTAAGCAATCAAATGCTTTCGTTAACAGTTTTAAGAATCTTTGTGTAGAGATGCAAAATTTCTCCACTGGTATTATCAAGAATCATACGAAACTTGTCATGACTCATTTGTGAATAATATGTGACAAGTTTAC